AGACATTGAGTCCAAACACCTCCAGACCGACCTGATGAACGAGATCTTTACAAGTGGATGGAAACTTAATGTCTGACTGTAGATCCTCCTTAAACTGTCTGATACTCACTGTAGCCCATCCCCTGCAGGAAGTACTTAAAGGCTTCGGTCAGCTTCCCCGGCTGCAACACAACAACAACACAACAGGTTTGTTTCACTGAGCTGAAGCTGTGTTTAGTTCACCGTACAGCTGATTGTGTGTCTGTGTGTGTGTGTGTGTTACCTGTGTGAGCTGAGGGAGTCCACCAGAATCAGCCATCTGCATCACAGGAGAAACCAGGAATCAACAAACTGATGCACAACAAGTCGAAGTCTTGTGTTGTTTGTAACACTACAACACAACAACACACCCCTCAGTGTGACGTTGTGCGTCTCTGCGAGGTTGTTTCATGTCTGTTTTTCATCAATTTGCATCTCTTTGTGGTTGTTTTGTGTCTTCGTGGTTGGTTTTGTGTCGTTTTTCTCGATCTTTGTCTGTTTGTGGTGTTTTTGTATCGTAGTTGTGTTTCTGTCTGTTTGTGTTGGTTTTGTGTTTCTTTCTGGTTGTTGTCTGTCTCTGTGGTTGTGTCTGTTTTGTGTCTCTTTGAAGTCATTTTCTGTGTCTTTGTGGTTGGTTTTGTGTCTTCATGTTTGGTTTTGTGTCTCTTTTTTGGTCATTTTCTGTCTCTTTGTGGTGGCTTTGCGTGGTTGTGTCTGTTTCTGTTTCTTTTGTGTCTCTGTGGTGGATTTGTGTATCTTTGAGGTCATTTTGCATCTCTTTGTGGTTGTTTCGTGTTTTTTTGGTAAATTTTGTGTCTCTTTGTGGTTGTTTTGTGTCTTCGTCGTTGGTTTCTCGTCTTTTCTTGATAATTTTCTCTCTCTTTGTGGTGTTTTTGTGTCGTAGTTGTGTCTGTGTTAGTTTTGTGTCTCTTTGTGGTTGTTTTGCGTCTGTTTGTCGTCATTTTTAGTGTATTTGTGGTTGTTTCGTGTGTTCCTGATTGGTTTTGTGCTTTTTTTTTCATTTTGTGTCTCTGTGGTTGTGTTTGTGTCTGTTTCTTTCTGGTTCCTTTGTGTCTCCTTTTGGTTGTTTTGTGTCTTCGTGGTTGGTTTTGTGTCTCTTTTTGGTCATTTTCTGTCTCTATGTGGTGGTTTTGCGTCTCTTGCTTGTGCTCCTGTTGTCTGTCATTTGGACTCCTCTCTGGTTGACACATCTAGATATATTTCCTGTCTTGTGCTTTCTCCTTTAATTGAGATGTTGTTTCCACTCCAGCTCAGTTTCAGCCTGTAAACGATGCCGCAGTTAAAAATAAACGTGAAACTTCCGCTCGATCAATAAGTTCCGCAAGTAAGACTCATCGATCCGTCCTGCCGGGACTCCATCGGTCACCAGAGTGGATCCATTAAAGCAGCAGAACATCAGAGCGGCTTCATCACTGCTGACGACTGAAGCACCAGAGGGGTTTGATTCCTGAACGAACTCATGTGGGCGGATTTCTGCTACGTGTTGGTGGTGTTTCATACAGCTGGAGTACGAGTGACGGAGACGTTTTGATTAGTTGTTCCAGTGAGATGAAATAATCGACAGTTTTTTAGGATATTTGACTAAATGACGATGGTAGTTTCTTTGGTTTTTCATGTGTGATGTTCATTTTTTTCTGAGAAGTTAAAAGTAGAAACCAACTGAAGTCATGAACACTCTGGTTACCTTCAGGAAGGTGGTGTTGGTCGGGTCCAGTTTGGAGTTACACTCGACCTGGCAGACAGAAGCACAAACAGCAGGTTCAGTTTGATCAAATCTGCAGCAAAAACAAAAAAAAACAAACCTCCAGCGACTGAAACGGTTTAACTCAACAACCACCGAAGCCCTTATCCCTGATCCTCGGGCTAATTATAATATCATTATTTATAATTCCAGCAGCCGTCGGAGCTCCGTCGGCACGTCGAACGCTTTGCTGTGAGGATTTATTTTTGATGTGCGCTCATTCATTGATGATGCACTTTGAGCCGCAGCCAGAAGTAAACAGCAGAGAGTGGAAACGAATGGGAGGCATCAGGTTTGTATCAGTGACCCAGAAACCGCAGAGATGAGTCACTGCAGCTCTGCAGCGCAAACGCACAAACACACACACACACACACCGACACACACACACACATAGAGACACACACACACATTAGACAGATGTGCGTGACCGTGGACACACACTCTGCTGCTCTAATCTTTAATCCTTCACACAAAGTCGCACATTTTACCTCCCAAAACACGGCAAAACAACACAACTTAAATTCATGTTGGACGCGCTGAGTTTTAACT